GCCTGCCCTGATTTTCCTGCTTCAGTAGACACAAGCATAAATAAGCTGCAATGTAGCTTGGGCTTGGACGCTGCAGAATTTAATAACAGTGCTGGTCCAGTTTTAGCCTCGCAGACCTGATAGCTACTCAGTTGCTTTCCGTTGCACAGGCAGCATGCGTGGCGCTTGCCCTTGCTGCCCTTCAGAGTTAGTCGCAGTTACATACAACATCGCGTGGTAGCTCTGACTTGCGCAGCTCATGTGACTTAGCTGCCGCATTGTCTGAACTTGGCCATGCAAAGCCTGGTTTCGAAGTTGCCATCGCCTCTGCAGGTCGTGTGCCCAGTGGCTTCCCTTACCTACAAACAGCTGGCCGCTCAGAGCATTTCCTCGTGTTGCATGCCAGTTGCATGATGCGCAGTTGCGTGGTGCAAGTACTGCATTGAGCCACGAGCAAACAGCATCATGTCCTTGTCTCAGTCGCACCATTTGGGTCAAGTGAGTTGAGTCGAGCGAATAGTCGACTGTTATTTCCCTGAGTCGTTCGACGCCTGATCTCCGGCAGTCGACAGCCTCGTCATGACCGGGAAGCGAGTTAATGAGAAGTCAGCAGAGACTGTGCCGACAAAGGTTGCCAAAACCACTCCGCAGGCAGCAGGGGCAGCATCTGGGCTCCCATCATGGGACTGGCCCGAACCAAACGGTCACGATGATGTGACCGAGACTATGGCCAGGGTTGTGCCATGGGTGCAGGCCCATTTGCCGGTGTTTCTGGACAAGCACAAGAACGAGACGGACTTTAAGTTGGTCGGCAGTGGCGCGATCTCCAACTACAAGCCTCTTGATGTCAATGCCACTGAGGCCCAGTCGTCCAGCTACAAGGAGGCTTGGGATGACCAGCACGCGGTGACTTCGCTTGCCCAGAACTCCATGTACGAGGCAGGCGGTAATGCGTGCTGGGCCTCTCTGGGTAAAGAGTCCATGAAGCTGTTCCACGATAAGATCAGCTGGGAGAAGCTTGTGGAACTCGTGGAGAAGCATTGGTCCCAGACTGCCATGACCCTGGGTCGCTTTGTCTGGCCCGGATTCTTGCACGTCTATGTTACAAAGGAGCAGGCAACACGCTGGCTTTTTTAAGTTCTAGATAAATGCAGTCAACATGTTGGCCGCAAATCAATCGTTCATTATCCCTTGTCCCACCCTGCAGCAGGTTCAGTCGGCAGGGTCTATCGAGAAGCTTCTGCAGTCGCCCGCAAGGTCTTGGCCGATTTTGACTGGCCATGTGGTCTTGCAGGGCTGGTACCTCGCAGTCGCCAACGCCCTCCGCGCGAGCAACATCGAGTTGCTGAAAGCCTTGGTCAGGGCATGCCTCACCACCACAGTGCACCTTCGATTGCTTCTGAACGCGCAAGTCGATGGGAGCCTCCATGCCATGAAGGAGGCATCCGTTCACAGGCAGAAACTCGGTTGCTGTCATGGTGGCAAAACCTCATTTGGCCGTATCTGCCCATGACGTTGAATTAAATGAAGTTGCAGCTGAGGAACGGCATTGCCAATGGAGAAAGCATTTTGAGTTGGGTCAGCCGATACATGAGCATGGCATCAAGCCAGGTCAGCGGAACCGTGGTGGCAAAACACGTCGCCTTTGCACAGCGACTTGGTGTGCTGTTCGAATTAAAGCCGATCACCACACCCGTCATGACCGCTGTGCTTCCTGCTAGCACGAGAAGCCTCATTTTTCTTGTAATTGAAGCTGCGCTGATCGGTCTGGATTCTTGCGTCCCCTACCTAGGCTGAAGATCGGCCCCCAGCTCACCGACCATGCCAAGGAAGTCCTGCAGTCGATCGCCTTGAAGCACGGCCAGGACATGTTGATGGATGGGTACTCCAAGTTGCTACGAGCTGTCTACTGCCTGCAGCGCTATGAGCAGCCAGAAGGTTGCACTCACACCTTGTTTGAGATCTTTGTGGAGTCTTGTCTGACGGCGGTTGCCAGGGAGCAGTTGCGTGTGGACTTTTTCAAAACGAACAACATCGGCGGCGAGTCGAAAAAGGATTCTAAACCTGGCTTTGCGGACCTGGTTGCAGCCCGCGCAAGCACGATCGGCACAATCCAGTCCTTCCTGAAACAGGTCTCCCGCGATGCGGCCAGGGAAGAGCTTCTGCTCGTCTGGAAGAACTTCGAGTCGCCTTTTGCTTACCACAACCAGTTTCCAGTCGTCGATCCCAATGCAACCATGCCGGATGGTGACGAAGTGGTGAAAACGCCAATGCAAATATTCTGCAAAGGCAAAACCAAGATCGCTGTCCAGCTGGCGACATTGGGGCAAGCTATGTGACTTGTCTGCAAGTTACTACTTAAATATGGCACGAGTGGCCCCCATGCGCTTTCCAGTTTGGGGCAATTTGGCAAAGAAAGGTATGATGGAGAGTACGATGCAGACTTCTTGGTGCTTTCCACTTTCTACACAAAGATCCAGGCCACTATCATGGCGCCGCAGGAAAACGAGAAGAAGTTGAGCTTGGTAGGTGCTGTTTGGGACCTCTTCAAAATGATCGAGTTGGCTACCACAGTGGTAGGGGTCACAGAGGATACACCCAGCGCAGGACTGCGCACCTTGGCAAAGGCCAATAGTCTTGGTGGTGAGGAGGAAGATCCGTTTCTCAAGAAGAAACAGGAAGAGAGAAAGGAGGCCTGGCGGTCGGCGACCAAAGCCCGCAAGCGTTTCTGCCAGTTCTCTGTCTGGAAAGACTTGGCATCCACAACGGAGACAGTGGCCAAGTCGCTCATCGCTAATGTGAAGGTCGATCCTGGGAAGAAGCATCGGCTTGTGGTCATGAGTCTGGACTTGCTTTGCGAGTCGGAGACGAACCCTTGGACCGAAGTCTTTGAGGCCAAGCCAACCGGCATGAAGTTCGAGTCGAGGCTGGGCAAGAGTAGGCCAAGAGTTTATGCAAGTGCTACACACGTCTGCGCATCACCTGCTGCAGGCTGGAGTGGTTGCTGAAGCAGACGCAGCCTGGGGACATCCTTCTTGTCTTTGATGGGCGAAGTCGAGCAGGGCGCAAACACGTGGAGTCGCAAGTGGCCAAGTCGGCCAGCCCAGTGGAGATCTCCATTCTCTACTCAGGCAAGAGACCCTTCCGATTCAGGACCCGGCAGGTGGCTTTCAGTGACCGGCCTCTGGAAGTCGGCTACATGCTGACGACCTTCAGCCGGAGCAAGCTCTCGGTGCAAAAGCGAACTGCGTTCGCTGCAGCTGGGGAAGAGTGTCTTGAAAGCATAATTTGCAATGCATGTAGATCGTAGCAACATGGCCAGCAGTTTTTTCCAAGGCTTTTCTGTGTCAGGTCGACTTTCCACACCTCCTACTCTGGGGTCGCTCCGCCGAAGTCCTTGCCCTTGATCGATGCTGCAGACAAGAAGTCGATTATGGGCTCTGCTGCCGAGCTGAAGTCGTTCACTCCAAAAGGTTGGAGTCGAAGCGGCGTGCCGTTGTTTTGGCAGGAATCAAAGGCAATCGAGTTCTGGAGGCTGGGGAAATAAAACTGCTTGCCATGCATCTGACTTCCTTCGCCCATGAGCGTCCCCTCACCAGGCAGCTCCTCAGCGACCTCTGCATTGCCTCCGTCGTCGATCTAAGTCCAGGCAGCGGTTCCCTTGCGATCGCAAGCATGTCATCTGAAGACACCGCGTCTCGGGTCCCAATAGTGTTTCTGCAGATTGAGCAAGTTGCCGCCGTCTTTTTTTTCCGGCGCCTAAGGTGTACTACTTGGGATTCCCGCACGACAATGGCCACCAGAGCTTCCTCGCCAACATATGCGACCGCGCCTCGCTGAAGCTGATAACCTCCGACGGCTCCTC